CAGTTATTTTTATATATCACCATTTCACAATAAATGTTGCCTCGAGGCACTTTGCAAAAAAAAGTCATTTCAGTTCAATCAACACAAGCATTCCAGTTGATGCTAATTATCAAAGTGTGCATTGAGCTCAATAAATTATTAAAACTACAAAGTACTTCTCATTGCAGACAGTTGTAAATGGCTTTTTAAAGGAGTACTGTTGTGATGCTGTGCAGAAAGCAGGGAGCAGGAAAGAGCAGGAGCTTCTTAAAGAGAGAGGCCCAGTTTGGCAGTTACATGGATGATGGTGCATTTGTGTGTTTGCAGGAGGATGTTCACAGTGAAGGGGAGATGGCTCAGCGGAGAGCTCTGCTGCTAGAAAGACAACAGAAGAGGACAGAGGAGCTGAAACGGAGGAGACAATGGCATGAGCAGGAGAGAGAAAACAGGTGGACCGTCTGCAGACTTTCTGTTATTTAAATACTTCAAGTCAAGCCGCTAACGTAACGTAAACCTTCTTCCTTCTGGTCCTCAGACCAGCATCCTCTGAAAGAAGAGCGGCGTCGCCCTCCAACACCTCGCCGTCCCCCACTCCTCCTGCCACCCCAGCACGCCGTGACGACTTCACGCGAGGGGAGTACGAGCGGCGGCAGCAGCTGAGAATCATGGAGGACCTGGATAAAGTTCTGAAGCAGAAAACGACCAACCACCCGGGTCGAACGGCCACAAAGAAAACCCGCTCACGGCCTCGCAGCATGACCCGGGAGGAAACCAAGCTGTCTCTGAGTCCGGCCAAAGGAGCTGCTGGTAAAATAAGAAAGAAGAAGAAGGAGAAAAAAAATGAAGTAGCGGCATGTATCAATCGTTAGAACTGACTGAACTTTTGTTTCCTCAGGTTCTCAGCTGACAAAGGTCTACTCACACTCCTCGCTAAACCTTGCAGCTACAGACGAGCCTGGAAACAGCAACGACTCCACGAAGAAAGCCCAGAGGTACGACGTCGTGTCAGACTGTGTCTTTTCCTCAAAATAAGACCCAATGTTCCAACGTCAATATTTCAAGCAAAAAAAAATAAAAAATAGAAATGTTGATTTTTCATCGTTTTTGTTACTCAAACTGAAGAGATTTGGTCATGGAATGTTATTGGACAGGAAATTTGCATATAATTTCTGCCAACAGGGTCACAAACTATCACAACTTGAAAAATCTTGGCTAAGAACATCTCTGCAATTTACTGTAAAAAATTATTCAAAAACAAAGTACATATAATGTATTTTGAACTTTTTCAGCTCAAAACTTTCCACGTTTTTTCAAGAAAGTCCCTGCATTTTTTTCTGTAAATTTACTCCTCCTCTTTTTTCTATCAACAATGGCCCCAACACATAACTTACAATACTGCTGTAAACACATCGGATTTAGCAAAACGCTACTTTCCATATTCAATAAAGAGGGAAGATTTGCAGCTGAGGCCCCCCGTCCCCGGGTCTCGTTCCTCCAGATGAATCGGGTCGTGTAATGAGACAAAGGCTCAGTGTTGTGCTGTTTGTGTTCCCTCCAGCAGCCGTGTTGATTCACCTTCACGATGTGTGACCCCAAGCAGACCCATAAATCAGAACGGAGACAAAGACTGGGAGTCTGGCTCCAACGGGACCTCGCCTGCCCCAGAATACACAGGTACAGCAGTAAACGGTGCAGACGTGTGTTCAGTGTTGTAAGGAATATTAGCACCATGTCAGAGTCTCCTGCTGGTAAATGTGAATCACTTTTCCTTCCAAGGAAACAATTCCTCTCATTTATATTGATCAGTTCTTTTGTTGGATAAATCAGAGATAAAGTAGATGTCACCTAAAGATGTTGATAAAGTCGTCTACTTTTCCCATCTGAATGTAAATCTATAAAATAATAAATTGACATGACGTCAGTTGTTGAGGCTGGCGGTAAAGTACAAACAAAATACTCCTACTGATAAGAAGAAAAAAGAAAAACTGTAGATAGATCTTAGTGAGCGAAGGAGAAAGTAAAAGGTGGAAACATCACGTGTTTGAATGCCGTAATTTTCAGTTTTTGGTCATGGAGCTTTAGCTGAAGTTCAAGCTGGAAGACTCCGCCCCCTCCGTTCACCCATCGACGTCATGCTCATCCCCGTCCTCAGCCTGGACCTCACCCTGCACGTTCAATCAGCAATCAGGCTCTGCATAAAAGGATCCACACCCAAACCGTCAGACGCTTCCCAGCTGCGTTCAACCCACCACCTCCCCATCTCCACCCTCATCCTTCGGTTCTCCAGGATGGAACCCTTCCTGACCACCACCACCAGTGTCGGGCCCCGGGGGAGAGCATCCCTAATCAGTTATCGGGATGTTCATCGAGTTCACATCAAATCTCAGCTCAAATCAGCTGCCGGGGCCCGAGCGCCAAAGAACCGTTATTCATTGCTGTCATTAAATCTTTTAATTGTTCCTTGTTCTCCGTCTGAGTCTTTCCAGATTGAAATGGCTTTCTATTTTGCAGGTCCAAAACTCTTTAAAGAGCCAAGCTTCAAGTCTAATAAGTTCATTATTCACAACGCTTTGTCGCGCTGCTGCCTGGCCGGAAAGGTGAACGAGTCACAGAAAAACAAGATAGTCGAGGTGGGGGGTTTAATTTCTTCTTCTTTTTAATTTACAGAAACTCTTCTGATGGTGTGTAAAAATCATAATTAAAGACGTAAATTTCTTCACTCTGCTGCTCCTCCAGGAAATGGAGAAGAGCTCCGCCAACCACTTCCTCATTCTCTTCCGTGACTCCAACTGTCAGTTCAGGGGCGTTTACACCATGAACCCCGACACCCAGGAGCTGGTGCGGCTGGCGGGCGTGGGGCCGCGCTACGTCAGCTCTGGCCAGGTGGAGTCCATCTTCAAATACAGCTCCGACAGGAAGCAGTTCAGCTCCATCCCATCAAAAACCATGGGGATGAGCGTCGACGCCTTCACCATCCCCAGCCAGCTGTGGCAGGGCGGCGGCGGCGGCGGAGCAGGAGGCGGCAGCAGCAGGAGGGCTAGCGTCACCAAGAAGGTGGCCGTCTCCAAGTGAGGATGGCTGTACTTAGATTATTACAGTGAAAAAGCTATTCGGATATTTATGTGAACACAGATGGATCCTCGTGTGTTAAATTTTTTTAAGTACAAAAAAAATAAACTTCTATTCCCTTTACATCTTTAAAAATGTCCACTGTGCAAATATAGCAGAACAGAAACATATTCTAAAGGAGGAAGTGGAGCATTTCTTTTAAAAAAGGTTGCTGATTTACTCAATTTATACCCATTAATTGTTTGAAGTTCAAACTTGAGCTTTTCTGTTGAAAGAAAATCCAACACTTTTTGATTTGCACATAAAAAAAAAAAAAAAAAAAAAACTTTTGGATAGTTCCTGTTTCTCTTGGCCTCTGAAAATGCCTTTGAAGACAAATCGACTGACTGAACTTTTGATTTTTTATTTATTTATTTACTTATTTTTTTACTTTGATGTTAACTCTCCCAGTACCTGTTGCCATGTGGATGAAAGCACATTAAATAGCCATAAACAAGTGACGCAGAGATGAAGGAGGATGCCGTTCGGATGTTATTTATTTCTGGCAGTTTTCATAACTGCAGCATGAATGGTTCTTTACTCTATGTGGTGAAACGATATCACAATGTAAGCTTGTGATTTAATGAAACTTACCATGTGTGAGCATTAGATGCTGATCTAAAAAAATGTTTTTGTACAGTAAACTTTCAGCATAATACCGAATGATGTGTGAGAGGAACCTGGACTGTCGTGCTCTCAGGTGGAGATGAGTGCTGATAGCCGACAAATAAATACAAACTTGGATCTGAGTCGATTACTTAATTCAATTTTTTTTATTTCAGAAATGTGCATGATGCATTTTGAACACTACAATAAATCTCAAAAGGAGAAACCAAAACTGAGTCTGAGTAAAAGAAAGCTAGCTACGTCGCTTGAATTATTCGTGTAATTTTTAAAAGTTTGAATATTGCATTAAAGTGCAGTAATTCCTCCCAGTCACCTGATTATGGTGGCTGACGGACAAAAACCTAAAATTTAGTATCTCAGAAAATTAGAATACTGTGGAAAAAGGACATTAATGGAAACTCATGGTGTCACACCCTAATCAGCTAATTAACTCAAAACAACTGCAAAGGTTTCACTCAGCCTTTAAAATGTCTCTGATCGGCTAAACAGCCACTGTCTTTTCATTAAATGTTCACACAACGTTATTTTCTCCAAATGTTGTAAAAAACCGAATTTCGTAACTGCTGTGTGTTTTCATTAACTTAGAAACGCAATTAAAATTACACTTGAATAAGGCTGTTCACGCGATAAGTCATTAAAAAACATGCGCCATCATCCTCCTACCACTTCCTGTCGTCTTCTTCGTCTTTCAGGCACGTAGCAACATCCGGTGCTAATCACATGACTTGCAGGCAAATAAGTGTTTATCGTTGCAGTTTTACGAAATAAACTAACTTCGATACAGCTGAAAAACCACATTTGAGTGTGTTGACATCTATACTTTTCATTAGCTTGATATTTAGACTTAAAGGATCCGTTTTTGATTGGTCCAAAATAATGTTCTAATTTTCTGACACCGAATTTGAGGTTTTCTTTCCTTACCTGTAGTCATTAAAAATACAAAAAAAATAAAAGCTTGAAATATTTTTACTTCAATTGTAAATGGCCTGAAGTAGCTTCTAAGCTAGCATGAATTTCCTTCTAGCAGAGCCAGAGGCATTGAATCTGTATGCTAAAGTATATTAAGCTAGTAGTTGCTGAAGTTTTGCCCACATTTATTTGCCATTCTCTCCTTCCACACATTTAATAACGTCACACTGCATTCACACTTAAAGTGCCTACACTTACAGCTAACTAATCATTCGTACGTCACTACAGCCCTCCTGAAGCTTCTTGTTTTCAGATTGTCGGGAAAAATCGAGGCCAATTGAGTGAAGTTGAGATGTGTAACTGATTCAAGTCAATAATTCATAAGTGTGTACCATTTTATTGCAGCTTCCTCAGTAGATTTACCACGTAGCTCTGAGATGCATTGCAACCGAATGATTATTTTTTAAGTTACATACATACATTTTATTGCATTGGTTTGATGCAGCGTGTTTCTCTGGGATCTTTGGTGCAGTTTTAAAGAACATAATTACACTTTTTTTAGAGACATTTTTCAAGAACAATGCCAGTTTAATGAAAGCAGAAAGATTTGTTAAATGGTTTTATTTCAAGCAGAGTGAAGTGAATAATACTTCTCTGTGGGAAAGACAGATTAACTTGTGTTGGAGTTGTTTTAACCATGCTCAGTTTTAAAGAAAAAACTAAGCATTTATGTAGCCCCAGCTACGTTTAGTGCTTTAAGTAGGACTGCTTACTTCACTTGCACTTTTAGATGGCTCTTTCCTTCCCTGGAAGCTAAATTAAATAATAAAATGCAGGAAAAAATGCTAAAATGTTATTACTTTGTTCTTAAGTTAACACTTTAGTGTGATTATTTGTGCAGCAAAGATCCCGTTGAAAGCACACGCTGGTTTTACAATGACTGCACTGATATGTCGCCACACTTACAGCAGAAGAAGAAAGTCGGCGATGGAGCTGAGCAGAAAGTCAAACTTCTTCACATCAAGACAGTTCACTTTCTACAGACGTAACGGTCTACTGTAGTTAATCCCTGCATTGTGTTTATCAGATTAAAGCAGATTTAAGTCCTAACAGTTAAATCTGATTAATATAGTTTAACCTCACATCTACCTGTAATGCAGCAGTTAGGTAACTTGGGAGTGACACAGTGAACAGATACTCTGGGTGGAGCAGGAACAAAGCTGTGGTAAAATGAGAGCAGATTGCATATTAGAGAAATAAACAACCAAAGAGTGCATCTCTTCTGTATATCTAACATCGAAAGCTTCAGTGTTGCTAATGGGCGTCGTCTGGTTGGACCTCGGTGCCAGCGTTAGCCTGTGTGTCCACGGAGCTACTGGTCGTGAAGTTCCACGCGCCGGCCTCGCGCTCCAGCTCCAGTGAAGGGCTGGCGGAGGCCGGGACCGAGGCGTTGGCCACCGTCGGGTCCTCTGCCATGAGGGCGGAGGACGGAGGGTGACTGAACGCGGCCTCGGTGTGAGGCTCGGATGAGTTGCTCGCCGGGGTTTCGGACGGGAGGATGGCCGAGGGGTCGGAGGGCAGCAGGGAGGAAGAGGAGGAGTTAAAGGTGGTGTTTGAGGACAGGTTGGACGGAGGGAGGTAGGGCGAGTCGGACAGCATCTCTGACGGCGAGTCCGTGAGCAAGTGGGTCGGCGTGGGCCGGGGAGTGTGTGCGGGAGTGGGCTCCCGTGGGTCTGTGCACACCGGTTCCCCTTCGGCCACGTACCACACCTCGTTATGCCGGTTCAGCAGCTTCAAGGGACTGCAGAAACACAGGGGAGAGGAAAACAGGAGTATGTCGGAAAGCTTAAAGACAGAAACTGCTGGGACAAACGGGACGGAAGCAACACGCGTCCTACCTGTCGTAACCGACTCCATAGTGGTAGGTGTGGTTGTAGGAGGCGTGAACTCGCTCCAGCTCTTTGGTCAGCAGGTGGGAGTGAAGCCTGGAGGTGACCGACAGCATCCAGCCTCCGTAGCTCCTCACATACACATCCATGTCCGGCATCGCCGTAAAATACACCTGGGCACCCAGAGCGAGGAAAACACCAGTGAGCAGCAAAAACTGCAACCAACCCGCAGCGGTGAGACCTTTGGTCTTCCATGTACGATGGCGTATTAGGGCCAGAAAAAAAAGACAGAATTTCCACCAGAAAAAACTTCAGATATTGTCTAGAAAAACAAGAGAATCTCTGAGTTTGAAAAGCCCAAAATTTGCTAGAACTAAAACTTTGAGGTTAATCTCAGAAATTTTCTAGAAAAACTTGAACATTTTTGAGTTTGAAAAGTCAGAAAATCATGTGACGATTCTAATGAAATGTCATTGGCTGCCAGTGCATTTCAACATATTGGGATCTCTTTATGGACTGATTCCAATCTACATCTCTGGATTAGGGCCTTGAGGTCCACGGATCAAGACCTACAATATAAATAAAGTATTACTGACTTGCACATAAAAACAGATTTAAAACAGCAACGGCAGCAAAAGGAAGTTCTATAATGTATTTAATTGGAGGGGCTGAACAAATATTTATGCCACTCTTTTTAAGATTTTTACTTGTAAAACCTATTAACCACTTTCTATCCACTTAAAAATAATCAACTGCTTTGTGCACAAAAGCCCAATAAAAGCCAAATGTCCTGAATGAAAATGTGAATATTTTTTTAAAGGGGTATTACGTATTTTCTAGCCACAAAGTTTCATTTTATAGCACAATTAAGTAACTATGTTACCTTCAGTTGCTATATATGTATCAAATCTGATGTAAGAGAAATGTAACTTTGTAACTTAACGCCTTGAAATTGGGGCCTCCATCTCTTTAAGAAGCTCCTGTTCTTTCTGAAGCTCCGCCTTCAGGAAGTCATCACAACATCAATACTCTATTAACCCTTTAACAATGATTTTTACCAGTGCTGGACTGAGAAGTAGCTTGTATAAGACGTATAGGGCTTTTGTCGATAGACAAAAAAAGGAGTAAATTTCAGCCAAAAAAAACTAAGAAATTATGAGAATAATCTGGGAATTTTTCTAGAAAAAACAAGGACATTTCTGAGCTCCAAAACTCCAAAATTTGCAAGAAAAAAAACTCTGATATTTTGAGATTAATCTCAGAAATTTCCACATTTCTTTCTAGAAAATTTTTGAGATTAATCTCAAAATGTCAGAGTTTTTGTCAGAAACATTCTGGTCCTTTTTTTCCTATCTACTATGACCCTGAAAGGTCGTCGTACTCTCATAAAGAGCTCAGCAGGTGTGCTTCCACCAGGTGTTTGCACAGCTGACTGGTCGCCACGGGAGATTCAAGGATTTCTCAAACATGCATGAAAGAATCAACAACACTCCAGGATGAAGCAATCACATTATAGCATGATGTAAAGCTCTAAAAACGTTCCCTTTCAGGTGCCACGTTTACTCCCATTATTCCTCTTCCTCTGAGTGAAAGCTGCTCTGCTGTCAAGCTCAGTTTTCTGCTTCGGTGCTTCCTATTGATCTCTAAGTAAAACGCCCTGATCGAATTCTGCACTGCCCTTCAAAGCGCCGCAGAGTTTAACCTTCAAACCGACAATCACAAAGGAAACCGCATCCTTCTGCAGTCCCAGCTTCCTGCACGCTCACCTTGTCGTTGGTGGGCGCGGGCGGTTTGTCCTGATAGGCCGCCGGCAGCGGGAAGTTGAGTGTGTAGACGGCCGGCTCCCAGAGCTTGGTTTCCTCTGGGACCTTCACCAGTACCGGGGCGGTCATCTCCATCTTCAAGCCTAAACCGGGAAACCCCCACACAACCACAGAAAGAAAAATAAATAAATCAAATAAAACAGTGTCTACGTGCTCAGTTGCACTCTTCCTCTCGTGTTCTCACCTTCATCGTTAGCTCCGTTGATGTACTGGAAGAGTCTCCTGAAAGCCATGGCTGCTCCCACTCCCATGAAGTAGGCTTCGGCATCTGTCGACACCCAGCGAGTGGGGGTAAGGTGTCGCACCTGAACACACACACACAAATGTGAGGAGAGGGGGAAAAAAAGTTGTGTTTTAGCTTCTTGTTGGAGGTTCAGACTCACTTCATACTCGTCCGTTTTGCAGACCAGTTCATATTCCAGACATTCCTTAGACTCAGTGCAGAAGCTGGTGTTGGTGCTTGGTCTGCAACATAGAGGGGGGGGGGGGGCCAAGCATTTACAGTCACAGTGTTTTAGAATTTTATTGTGATATTTTGTGGTGCTACTGTGATAACGAAAAAAAATGTATAAATTACTTTCTTTTTAAAAATTGTGACTGCTTGACATCAAACAGAAATAGTTCTCTAGAAAAACATTCCAGTCTAAAATCGCCTTCTTCAAGACAACAGTGAGTTAAAGAAGTGTGACTTATAAAAACTACACAGTAATGGTATTTAATCATATTTTTAAATGTACTCATCTTTACTGATGCTCTCATGGAACAGTGGAGTAAACATTAAATATAACTTCTCTCATAACACTGTCTGTTTGGTTTTCTATTTAACATTAATTGGAATTCATCAAGGCAACGATAAATTAAAATTCTGATCATGATAAATTTTTCACGATAAACGATATGATAAACGCCCTAATTTACAGTCGGAATCAATAAATTAGAACATAAGCCCGATGAGTCGAAAGTGCCTTTTGAAAATAGCCTTTAAGTAGATATTAAACATATTTCATTGCCAGTATAGTGCTGGGAACCATATTTGTGCTAAATCTGTTCAGCTGATTTTCCTCTTAAATACACATTTGTGAATTATTATAAATTGTTATACTGTAAACACGTGTCCACTTAATAAAATCCACATGGAGCCGGGCATGTAGAATGCTTCAGGAAGTCTGTCAGTCCATGGAACTTTGCGGCTAAAGGGAAATAAAACGTGTCCAGTCTGGATTGTACAAAACTGTGTTAGTGTTTAACTTTATCAAAATCAAACACGTAAACAAAGTGACAATTCATACACTTTTGACACTTTTAGACCATGACTCAGCACTAACTTTTTTGTATTTTTAGCCCCAAATATAACCCTAACAGTTGTGAGTCTTTTTCTATCACAGCTTTTCCTTCCACTGAACTTTCCATTAATATGCTTGGATGCACCACTCTGAGAACAGTGTCACTTTTAGAACAAAATTACTGAAATAATTTAGTGTTTTAATTAAACATTGATCGATTTTGATTGATTTGAGCTGCATCTGTAAAATCTCAAAGAAAGTCCCTAGGTGGACCGTTTTACGAGATTTTCCCCAGCATTGGTTTAGAGTTCAGGTTGAAATTATGACTGATCGTGATCTATGTTGTGTTTGCACTAATAACTGAAGCCATCAACTTACCCCACGCTGCTTTCAATGGAAACCACCAGGGACAAAATAGCTACGGCAATGAAGAAAGCCCTGGAAAAAGAGCACATAAAGACGTTTCTTCATATAAACAATCTGTTTTTTCTTGTTTGTTTGGCTCAGGCCACGTTGAAAAAAGCTTTAAAGAAGTAGCTGCAAATGTTCCACACAGCGTTCAGAAAGTGGAAAAGCAAAGAAAACATGGCGGAGAAAACAAAGATGTAAAACTAAAAAAAAAAAAGTCAAATGAGGAGGAGGAGAGAGGAAGGTGTCTGTCAGGTAAGACGCTGTTGCTGCTGCTGCAGTCAGGACTGGGTTTCATCACTGCAGAGATGAAACTGGACACGTGTTCCTGCTGCTGCTGCTGCTGCTGCACCGAGGAGAGAGGGAGAGAAATCTGCTGCATCATCAGTCTGCTCTGCAAACCAAAGGCGTTTTAAGGTCAGGAAGGAGCAGCGAGCATAAGGACTCCATCTTCCTTACCCGAGTATGTTTGGAACCAGCAAAGAATGCCAGGAGCTTTAAAATGTATAGTAATAATAATAAGTAAGGTCTCTAAATATGACTGAAGCACCAACGCACCGTTTCAGATAATGCATACACGCGTGCGCTGCTTAAGAAGAAGAAAAAAATAAATGACGCAAACCTCAACTTTACCTGCACGTCAAGCCGGTAAAGGGAATTCAACAACATTAGAAATCAAATGTACCTTACTGAGGAGTTTAGAAAAAAATAAAGTATTTCAATCTCCTGATATGTTGTAAATACTTACATTGTGACTGTCCTGTGTGTGTGTGTAGCTATTTCCCACCTGCATAGAGAGCGCAGTGCGGAGGGCTGATGGAGACTGCAGTGTGTTGCACCCGGACAGGAGCTGGAGGATTTAATGCAGACGGAGAGGGAGGGGCCCGGGGCCCGCCTACAGCACACAGGGAGGAGGAGACTGGCCACCGGAGGCTCACTGGGGGTTTCTAATCTCTCACCATTAAACATGAAAACATCAATCAGTTGGGTTCCAATAACTTCATAGCTGCGTTTCCATGACAAACGTCGTGTGCAAATTTTTGTCAATACTCTGCCAATGTCGGAAAAAAACAAACACAAATAAAAACAAGTTCGCAATTGCCGTGTTTCCATTAAAAAATGAAATTAAAATAAAACCATTGGTGAATACGCTTGTTGATGTGATAAGTCAACAAAAATCATGGCAGCAGTGGCTGGGATAAAGCTTGTGGCCGTCAGATAAAACTTGAGAGAGCTACTGTATATCTGAGCTCTCTCTCAAATAAAGTGTTTGTATTTTTGTTTGGTGTAATACCTGAAAGTCACAGTGGGTGGCGTATTAAGGTTAATAGAGTCACAGGTAACCTCAGCTGTGTGTGCTGATTGCGGCGGAAACAGCTTTTGACCGTCGTGGTTGTTGTCCACTGCGTTGCGGCAATTGTGTGAACCTTTTGATTGTGTTGACTGTAAGTGTGCAATGTTAAAATTTGCATCTTGTTCGAGAGCGCAAGATCAAGAAATACGCTACAACCTTAAATGTTTATTCGTTGGATCCAGGAGGAAGAAGCGTCAACATGGCGCCAGTCCGCGGCGACCACAGTGGCTCACGTTCTTTTTGTTTTCTTTGGTCAAGAACAAACCACTATTCAGCCACAGAGCTGAGGCTAATCATCCGTCAGCCAATCAGAGTAGACGTCGGCGTCTTATTTAGGCATTGGAGCGACAAGCCCCGCCTACTGGAACGCGGCTACGTAGTCGGCGATTTTACAGAAGAGATTCAACACGTTAGAGAGACGCAACCTTTTATGAGCTGTCTGATGCTATGAGAGCTCTGGAGAACCACATGGACACTGTCCGACAAACCCCACACAAAAACAAGCCTTTATACTTTTTGAGTCCTTTTTGAAAAGTCCTCAAAAAGGACTTTTCTTAAAAAAAAAATCCTTTTTGAGAAATTTTAAAGAAATATTCTCAAATTTTGTTGTGCCTTACCTCCTCTTTACACTTTTTCGAGGCCTTACTTTGTTAAATGTTTTTTGTTGATTTTTTTTAGTTTTGAGATATGCCAAAATGTTTTAGACAAAAATGCCTTAATTTTGAGAAACAAAGAAATTTGTTATTATTATTTTATTTTTTGCGGCTGCAGAGTGAGCAGAGGATGAACAGGAAGTGCCCATCACATTTTAACTCTACAGCGGCAGTAATCGCTGCCTCATTACAATCAGAACAAACCCACTCCCCCCAAGGCTCTAATTAAACTGGAATATAATGAGCCATAAATTTCTTTTACTGTTTCACACCTGGGTGGTTCAATAAAGACTTGTTTTATTTATGAGACATTCTTTGCTTGAGGAAGGACCGTTTTACTACAGGCTAGTTTGCTTGATGGTAATAAGGCATAAAGCAGACTGAGTTACGCCTTTTGCATATTTTACGTGTACTGATCATTTGTCGGAAGAGAAACCGCTGCTGAAGACGTTTGAGGATCCGTCTGTGAAGGAAATCACCCTGAGGCCCATGGAGATCAGAACATTCTCACTCAGGGTCACTTTTAAATAACCAATCATGCACATCAAAATGGCAGCTAAATGTCCCTGTGCTCCAAACTGAGGTCTCACTTAAATCTGCATCGAAAAGGATTAGAAAATAATTGTCTTTTTACTTTTTCCACTAGGGACAGGAATTTCAAGAAGAAACAAAAGAAAGTCACACACTTACTTTTTAAAAATTTCAAATAAATAATCTGTAACACATGGCTGCTCCTCCATCAAGATCCAGAGGAACAGCTGAGAGAAAAGTTGTTGGCTTATTTCTGGATTTTGTTTTAACCCATAGAGTGTAATCTCTAAGCAATCCATTTTTAAAAACTTAAACTCACTGCCTAAATAAAAAGCTCGCTGCTTTTTATTTAAACCTACAGCTGTTTTAGCCAGGGTAAAAAGTTTATCTACTTTAGATCTTTACTTTCCCACCATTACTGTCACATTTTAGCAGAAAACATCTTCAGAATCTGCTGCAACAAAATTATTTTCAGAAAAGCAATCACCCAAATTTCAGCTGATTGAAAGAGAACGCTGCAGGATGCTGAAATAAAGAATTTTAAAGAAAATTATGGGCAACTCTGGGCAACTTCATGAGACCGTCTTGAAAAAACATCGTATCAGTCAGAGGCTTCTTGAAATTTGCTGTAATACAGACCACTACAAAAAAATCCTTCCTACCAACAGTAATTAACCATCTACAAATCTTTGAAGAATCTGAATTGATTCTTCAAAGAATCAACAACAATTCTGCAACAACATTTAACGTTACTTTTCGATCAATAAAGTATTTTTGAATTGAATTTTGAATTTTAATTTTTCTTCCAATCCAGCCTTCACGGCAGAGAGAAGTTTTCCCATTTGGAGGACCGAAATTGAAAGCAGAAATATAATGTCGGACCAGGAGTGTAAGTTTTAAAAATGCCATTGTGAACTTAGACTGGTTAGCCAGTAGGTGGCAGCATACGCAGTGATAAACAAGACAACGCGATACTTGTATTATCTGCATTATTTGTAGTCCATTTTCTCTCGCGCACCAGTTCGTGCGTTCGTCAATGAAAGTCATGGAAACGACATGAGCGTTCTCAACCCTATAAATGACGCTGACCTTCTGAATTCTTCCCCTTTGCGACGGGACTTTTGAGAGAGACGCCTGAAGAAGCATTTGGAGCCTCGGAAGGTTTGAGCTTGTCGAGAAGTCTGCTAGCAAAACTTGTTAAAGAAGCACTTGCTGAAATACGCACTTGCTGAAGAAGCCCGTGGTTAACCAACCTGCGAAAGACGGTTCCTGGCCAGGAGAAGCACCAGCAGGGAGATTGGCTGGAAGGTTAAAATCATTCTTTTACTATTTTAAATAAACGAAAGCAAGTTATTACTAATATATCAGTGACTTATTTAGTTTATTTTGTGTTTGTGTGTGTGTTTTAAAGAAATTCTGACTGCTGTACAAAAAAAAAGAGAAGTAGCATTCTTTGCTAGCATAGATCGTTCTTAACTAATGAGCCTTTTTCTTAACTGAATTTCGCTGGAAATGTCGAGAATGTTAAACTGTGGTGTAGTGATTTAAGAAATATGTGTATTTTACTTAATTATTGTCAAATTAGTTAAATTAACGTCAAATTCCTGAAAAATTATCTCATCTTTTGACCGTTATTTTTTGAAAAATGCTGTGATAAACACCTAGTTTCCATGGATACGCTAAATGAAATACCTTAAATATTTAATATTATTTTTGAAAAACATTAAGAAAATAGCATTTACCCCTATAATAGCCTATATTTTAATTGTTTAGTTTAATTATTTTTTCAAGATAGGGACATGTTTAACATAGCCAGGAAACATGGGTGAATTGATTTAAAAAAAACAAAATTGGTGATATCTAATCTAAAAGTATAAGGTTTGATGACTTTGGTGTCCAATTCTTTGAAATTTTGATGACTTCTTTGAAATATATAGCTTTAATAGGTCTCGTTTGCATTTGTGGGGTGAAACAGATTTGTGAGTTAATTTAAAAGTTAATTTAAATTGTTTTGTGACTTATGTGTTAGCATATTGACATTTGTGGATAAATGTCTGGGATATCAACACTAGTGTTTGAGAAAAAACTGTTATGCTGGTTTGAAAAAACAGTCACATTTCTGTCCAATTCTTGACCTTTACTTTATTTTATTTTTTATTTTTTGAAAAATGCCCTGACAAACATACTTGGTTTCCATGGTAATCACAGCAGACTAACGATTTAATCAGGTTAACATAAAAATTTCCATTAGTGTGTGCACGCCTTCACACACTGATGATAATAAGCTAATAGGTTGTAGCCACAGATGTCCTATCGTGCCAGCGATAAACTCCAGCTGAAGGTGGGAGAAGTGTCTTGCTCCAGGACACAACGACAGAGGCAAGGACAGAGACAGAGTTTGCAGGGCAAACCGTCGCCCCAGTAATAAACTTCATACGTGTGTGTGTACGTTAATGATAGACCATTAATAGGCAATGAATTGTGTATAGTCGTAGTGATAATCAATCTAAGCTGATTTTCAGAAACAAAATAATGATTTGTTTGTGAAAATCAGCTTTGATGACTTTGGAGTTCAATTTTTGCTAAACTCGCAGGTTCTTTGTCATTATTTTATATATATATATATATATAATATTATTTTTTATTTATTTTATTTTTATTTATTTATTTTTTTTTAAGAATGCCCAGACAAACATATTTACTTTCCATGGATACATTGGTGATATTATTTAAAATGACTTCAATAAAAAATTAAGAAACACTTTGCAAACATGTGCCTCCTCCTATCTAATGATAGACTTTAATATGTGTGTTTAGTTTTCCTACAGGGGTGAACTGATTTTAAAAGAAAAAAAAACATTTGAGTTGGTTAAAATCAGCTTTGATGACTTTGGTGTTCATTGTTTGGAAATTGCAACTCTTTGTTAGGAAGGTATAATTTGCTTTTTTGTAATGCAACATATTTGTGAGTTAATTGAATTTGTATTGTGATTTATATGCTAGTTATTTGAAATTTTGGAAAATGTGAGTAATGCTGACTGCAGTTGTTTTGGTTTGAAAGAAGTTTTGGAATCAGCTTTTTGAAAAATGTAGTACATGTAGTCTCCATGGATACAATGATTAAATAACAACACAACTTTATTCTTACAAAAAATCATTAAAGAACAATGTGTGCCTGTTGATTTCACAAAGTAAATAAATTATTTATTGTAATTCCTCAAGACCAGAAAAACAATGTTTTGCTCCATCGCATTTTAGTGACGTATCATTTTCAGAAGTTACTTGAATGTTAACAGTGAATGTTAAAATTCATTAGAAAAACTATGATCTCGGTTTCAGTTAGTCTAGTTGTGATTCATTCGTTAGTTAAAATTTTGGGGGGATTCTGGAGGTTTATACTGCTTATGTGGTTTAAAAAGTTATTTCTGGTTTTAGAAGATCTGTTTAGTTTTATTCAGATCTTTGGAATAAGAAGTCAGCCCCTGGTCCAGGTTTCAAAAAATGCCTCAAAAACAAATTTGGTCTCCTTGGATACGTTGCTTGAAATAAAACCTTTCTACTTGAATATTAGAAAAGTTTTTAGATATATATATTTCTCCTGTATTATTTCTAAGTAGTTTAGTTTATATTAAGTAGTTTTGTTTAGTTTTATTTTTGTAGTTTTGAATAATTAGTTGTTTATGAAATGCTGTGTTGGTCCTTTGCATATTTTCAATATATATATATAATTTTTTTTCATATAATATATTTTCATGCTGATTGAATTTTCAGAAAGAGTCAGCAATATTAATAGTGGTGTGGTGATTGGAAAACTTATTTTAGTTTGAGAAAATTACTTTTAGAATCCATTTTGTTGATGTTCTTTGTCTCCATGGAGATGGTAATATTGAAAGAAGCATTTGGAGCAATATAATTGTGTGAACATTCATCTGAGTTTCTTGCTGGGTTGTGTGCAGCCATGATTTTCAGACTGACGTAATGAATTTCATAACACTACCTTCAGCCATAACCTGCCCATAGAGTAATATTAACATGTGATATTAATACTTTGAGGCATCATGCACACATAAGCTCTTTGCTTTGCCTTCTTGCTGAAAATGTGCTATATAAATAAAATTGCCTTTACCTTTTATCTATAAGGGATGCAGATTATTATTTCAATTATTTTGTCTGGCTTATCTCCAGAGAAAATACAATGGTCATTTTAATACTGGATATGGATTTCTAAACTAAATAAACAGTTAAATTTTTTGTAGGAGCCCCTGGAAATGGAGGAAAAGCCACTTATGTTGGCCTATGTATTTAGATTCCTACTTTAAAAGCTGTATGTCTATAAAAGTTTTAATTTTATAGATGTACATTTTTGCTGTTGGCTATATGTGGGAGTTTGAAGGTAGTACTGATGAGCCGTCAGAGTAGCTGTAACTGTGTTTGTAAAAAAATTGTGGAGCTCAAAGGAATTTAGTTTGATTAGCTACAATTAAGATTTTGGTAATTTACAAATGCTATTGGAGACATGTTTTTTAAACTTTGATACTTTTAAAGTATTAAAGTTGTGTAAGCAGTGATTTAAGTATAATAGTAATGAATGGATCACAAATCGTATCCCTGGCTATTGTTAAGATGTTCCTGTAGCATCAAAGATTTGTGAGGATGGGTTGTTATAGAAGGGTAAACTGAGTAACTTGTTGCAGGGTTTTATTTTATTCACACTAATGGCACAATCTAAGATTACAGGTGTTTCATTAGCTATTAAAAAGTCCTAAACACAGTCTATAGCTCTTTAATTTATGTTTCCAAATGTTTAAGAGTTTATGGCTAGGGATAAATTACCAATAAGTCTAAATTGGATTTGTTGTCTTTAATGATTGATTGGTACCAAGATGAAGCTGCAAGTTTGTTTGTCTGAGTGGTGATGGTCTATACATGTTTGATCCTTGAGTTTTAGAGTGTGTTCTGGTTTTTATGTAAAATTGTGTTTTTTGCTGTTTTTGTGACTAAAAATGAGCTTTATTTATTTTATCTCTTAATTCCCGTTCTTCTTGCATAATCACATCTGGCATAGCAATAATATTGTTAATTAAATATATTCAAGAAAAACAAACACATTCACAAACCTGGGTTATTGTATTGTTGGTATTTCAGTGTTCCCTCTAAACATTGCTTTGGACTTTTGTGAAGGTCAAGATACTGAATTATAGCTGTTTCTGCTTTTTTTTTTTCCTTCACAGCCCATACCATGGCGCTTCCAGCAGATGGATCCCCGACGTTGGAGGGACATCCAGACAACGGTAAGGAACACGGTAAGGTGTGGTTAAATGAAGCCGACATGGATTCTGAAGACCATGGAGAGGAGTTGAGGTATAGTTCACCTCCGCAGTCTGTGGACTGTTCTACCAGCTCTAGTGGAGGCAAGGTAGGTAATGAAGACCAGGATGACTTTAAATCCCGACTTCGGGTTGTCCAGGTCCTTCGACCAAACATTAAATTCTTGTGGGGCATAGGAGTTCTTGAAGAGTCATTGAAACTTCTGAATTCGAAGGTTCATCAGCTGTGCTCCGCTGACAGTAGTCTAACAGTGGCCGATGTTGCGTCACAGCTGCTTGAGATTATTCCCCCAAATTTCAAATACATACAGGACATCGGGGTGGCTCAGAAGCCCCAAGAAGACACGGCTCCCTGCACTTCACTTGAATTAACATCTGGACTTGACAAACAGGAAGAGCCTGTTTTGCGTCCAGAGAAGTCCAGACCAATCGCTACCTTGCAACGTCATCAGGTAGGTTTGGAAAAGAATGGTTCTTCTTTGACTTCCAGACACGCCAGAAGAATAACGAATAAGGTGTATGCTGCGAAGGAGGAAGACCGACCATCAAAGCTTAGTTTTGGTACCGTGCTTCCTTCCAGCTTTAAATTCACATCTGGACTTGACAAACAGGAAGAGCCAATTTTGCGTCCAGACGACTCCAGACCTATCAGTATCTCGTCACAACCTCTCGGGGGTTGGAAAAATTTAGTGGCTTCTTTGACTTTTGGCCGCACCAGGAGAACTACAAAGAAGGTGGATGCTGCAAAGGCGGAGGACCCATCATCAAAGCCTAGTCAGCAGGTAGGTTTGAAAGAGGACGTGGCTCAAGTGACATCTGTGACTGGCATAAACGGAAAGAGGACCAGGGACACTGTTGCTAAAGAGGAGCCCCCTGCCAAGAGGACCAAGATCGGTCTTCCTGCAAGAGGTGATCTCTTTCCAGCTTTTCAGCCACATCCTCTTGCTGAAAAGGACCTCCCTGCCAAGAGGACCAGGGACACTCTTGCTAAAGAGGAGCCCCCTGCCAAGAGGACCAAGATCGGTCTTCCTGCAAGAGGTGATCTCTTTCCAGCTTCTCAGCCACATCCTCTTGCTGAAAAGGACCTCCCTGCCAAGAGGACCAGGGACAGTGTTGCTAAAGAGGAGCCCCCTGCCAAGAGGACTAAGATCACTCTCCCCGCCAAGATGACCAGGGACAGTATTCCTGAAGTGAAGTTCCCAGCCAAGAGGATTAGGGACACTGTTGCTGAAGAGGAGCTTGCCACCAAGAGGACCAAGTATAGTGATGATGCCAGTTGGGATGAGGTTTTTCACAGCATCCTCAGAAAGGTGGCATGGACATGTGGTAAGTCTCTGTTCATTCCCTACCGGAAGATGGAATATGAAGATCCCATTCTGATACACCCTGTCCCCAGTCTCCTACCTTGGACATCGTGTAAGGATCCTGGACTGTCATCCCCCGTCCTCGGTCCCTCTTGTAAAATGGCGCGTAAACGTCCTATTTTCTCACCCCCTGTCCTCAGTCCCTCACCACTGACGCACTGTGAAGATCCCATTTTGTCACCCCGTGTTTTCAGTCCCCCACCAAGGATGCCATGTGACATAGAAGAGGAACCAAAACCTTCAACATCTAGTGGAATTACAGCAAGAGAGAGTTCCAGATACGTGTGGTTTAGACCTCGCTACGTCTTGTCAAGTGATTCGGAGTAGATTGGGATCCGTAAAAACTGAAGACCTATTTGGGAAGTCACATTAGGACATCATCATTTCTCTTTGGTTTTTATTTAAGCCAATGGCTTTCTTGCAAGCCTGTGGAAGCCTTAGGTAGCGCCTTGCATCGGGGCTTTTCTTTATCCCGCTGATAGATTTAGCATTTTAGATGTTAAGGATTCTGGCAGGACTGAGGAAGCCTTAGGTAGCGCCGTGCTCCGGGCTTTTCTTCATCTTTGCGTTTTCCTCTCTACTCCCCCATGTTTCAGGGTGTGACAGTGGTGCTTCCCTACACAGTGCTCTCCAGTATAGTAAATTATTGTGTCCTGTTCCTTTACTAATCCACTCCAAGTTTTTAATCTTTCAGGTTGTAGCTGCTCATCGCTGGATCCTTTCGTTGTTGTCCATGTGGTTCCTGCCTTCTGGATCTCTTGTCTTTCACACTGCTTGTAAGTTTTTTCATTCCACTTTCACATGATACGGCTTGCCTCCTGCTGGTGGCAGATCTCTGATTCACTGATCATCACAGGTTGGATCTCCTCAGCCTGTAAACCTCCACCTTCAACACCACCAGTCAGATGGAGGAAGATAAGAGAACCCAGTTGGAAAAAAAATGTAAGGACATGCACTTTTACACAACAAAAAATGTTCAACATTCAAATCTATTTTGTATTTTCTGTTGTACTTTCTTCTCACTGACACTTTTGCTTTGTATGATCTTTTTGAGTCCTTTCATAACAGCAGAGCTTTGATGAGCTTTATGCTGATGGAAGGAGGATCAGGAATAGAGCAGAGGACCTGCTGATCTACTGGCTATAGTAGATTTTATAAATGGTGAGGACATGATTATGAATTGATCAGAAAGTCTGATTCAGTGATCTCTTATTTAGGCAGAAATTAAGGAATGTGTGTCTGATCATGTGTTAATTCTCCAGCATCAGTGAGACGAGACAGCAGCACTGGACCAATCAGGAGAGAGAAGACAGAGGACTGAGGGGACACAGAAAATCTTGCTGAAAGTCCATAGAAGAAGATTCCTGATGCAACAGGGGGACAGCTGAGGACACAGAATAAAGAGACAGATCATGTGAAGTAGGTCCTTCAATAACAAACCAAGCATCACCATAAAATCTTATGTTGAAATTTCATTTGTTCATTAGTCAGATGTTGAATATGAAATAATTTTAGAAACATTGTAGAGAATCCAGCATTGGTTTCTGATCCCAGATTCAGATTCTGCAGATCAATAATATCTCTGATCATCCCAGGTTGGATCTCCTCAGCCTGCAAACCTCCACTTTCAACACCACCTGTCAGATGGAGGTAGATAAGAGAACCCTGTTGACAAAAAAAGTAAGAAAACTTACTTTCATTTTAAATATGGATGAAATTGAGATCAAATTTCAAACTTTTTTTTTCTCTTTAGATGTTTATTCTCTGTTTTTTAACACTGTTATGTTTTCTTTTTATTTAATTTCTCCGTCAACTCATGTCACATGACTTGAGTTGACCAACAATTAAAGAAGAAGGCCTGCTCCATCTGCTGATCTACTGGTGTAACAGATTGTGGAAAAGGTGAGGACATGATGATGACTTGATCAGAAAGTCTTTTTCAATCATCTGTTATTTAGTCAGATTAAGAAATGTGTGTCTGATCATGTGTTGGTTCTCCAGCATCTTCAATAGCACTGGACCAATCAGCAGAGAAGACACAGAGGACTGAGGAGACACAGAAAATCCTGCTGGAAATCCCGAGATGGAGTTTCCTGGTGCAGCAGGACACAGAATAAAGAAGGACCATGTGAAGTAGGTCCTTCAATAACAAACCAAGCATGAGTTGATCAACAATTAAAGCAGTTTACTTCGTCCATCTACTGATCTACTGGTTGTAACAGATTAAGGTTGATGAGATAATGACTTGATCAGAAACTGTGGCCAACAACTGCAAACGAGCAGCAAACGGGTGAAACGGCCCAGGAAAAGAGAAACTTAATCATTTTACATTTTTCGTTTCGTTTCATTGAAACCACAAAAATGTTTCCACCATAACGTCCAATTGTTCAATATATTTTTCTATCAAACTTTGAGTAGTGTGCAAGTATTACCCAAACATGCTTTGACTTTATTGATCCCAAAGGGAAATTAATTGTAATTGTAGCTCATTAATTCAGATTCTTCAAAGAGTTATTATAGATGGCTGATTGCTGTTGGCAGGAAAGATCTTTTGTAGCAGTCTGTATTTCAGCAAATCTGAAGAAGCCCCTGACTGATGATACTCTGTGTTCCCCATACAGACTCGTGCAGAGTATGGTCAGAGTTGTCCATAGCTTTCTTGACTCTTATGAAGAATCCTTCTTTGCATCATTTCCAGAGGTTCCACAGTCGTTTCCAGAACAGAACCAGAACAAATCCAGCCTCATCAGGTTGTTGAGCCTTTTGAGGTTCATGGCTCTGATGCTGCTGCACCAACAGATGATAGCAGAAGAGACGACGCTCTCAACAGCAGACTTGTAGATCTGCAGCATCGTGTTGCAAACCTTGAAGGGTCTTAGCTTCCTGGAGAAGTGCAGTCTGCTCTGTCTCTTTGTATAGATGCTTCACTGTTGCGTCTCCAGTCTGTGTTCCAGATGAACACAGAGGTATTTATATTCCTGAACCACCTCCACATCTTCTCCCATGATGGAAATAGGGTTTGATCCAACCCTGTTTCTCCTGGAATCAACAACCATCTCCTTTGTATTGTTTACAGTCAAGATGAGATGATTGTTCCCACACCAGGCCACAAAGCGGTCCACCAGATCTCTGTACTCGGCCTCTTGTCTTCTTCTGATACACACAACAGCTGCACAGTCATCTGAGTATTTCTGTAGATGACAGAAGTCGGACTTGTGCTGGAAGTCTGAAGTGTGGAGAGTGAAAAGGAATGGTGAGAGTACAGAGCCCTGTGGTGTTCCTGTGCTGCTGACCACCTGGTTAGACACACAGTCCTTCAGTCTCACACTGTGGTCTGTTTGTCAGGGTCCACCCATTTAAACCATTGGGTTTGCTGTTAATGCTAACGCCCCCTTGTGGCAGCGGTAAAACATTACAACTAGACAGCTTTAAATAAGTGGTAACATTTATTTGAACACATTGAAACGATGAAGGAATCAGGGTCAGTCTTTAATTTATGATCATCAGCAGCACTGACAGATGTGGCTTGTTACACTTGTTATAAATAAAATTAAACTTCTCAGACATCTTTGAGTCTTCCCAGCTTGGAGAAGCTAACTTTACAGAAAGCTAGGAGTGTTTTTCTGGAAAGTTAGCATCTGATTCAGAATCCTCTGACTTGTCTTCACTGGATTAAGCTGCACTGAAAATGCACTGCTTAAAACTCATTTTTTGCAGCTTTTTTGTCTGCAAATATTAAAATATGCACTTTATTCATCTAAATCAGCTCCAGTTTAGAATGCAGATATGAGAGTCAGGGTTTCCCCCAGTGTATTATAAGCCTGGTGGGCCACCAGGCTTTACTTGTGCCCCCACCAGGCTAAGCATCGCTTATTTAAGTTTGTTTTTTAAATGGTTGCATTTTTTTAAGACTTTGTAGTTGGTGTTCAGGTGTTAATCTCCAATCTTTCAATATCACATGATTATCAAGTGATATTTTCAAATTTCCTGTCAATTTTAAACATTTTTTAACTCAAAAACATGACGGGCCGCTGGATAAATGTCTGCCCTAGTGGCCCAACCACCAGGCTTAGCAAGTTTTCTGGAGGAAACCCTGATAGTTTAGAGCAGGGGTGGGCAACTCCAGGCCTTGAGGGCCGGTCTCCTGCAACTTTTAGGTGCATCTCTACTTCAACACACCTGAGTCAAATAATGAGGTCATTAGCAGGACTCTGGACCACTTGACTGCACTGAGGAGGAGATTCAGCTGTTGGATTCAGCTGTGTTGGACCAGGGGGACATCTAAGAGTTGCAGGACACCGGCCCTCGAGGACCAGGATTGCCCACCCCTGGTTTAGAGGGACATGCAGCGTTTGTGGGTTCTGTCAGTCACACAAAAACTAAAATCAGTCAGTGGTTTGGACTAAAACTTGAGTTGTGATGAGGAATATCTTAAACATTCCATGCAAAGATATAGATTTTTAAAGAACCAGCACCTCTCCCAACCCCAACAGGGTAAGGGTGAAAGAAAACGGATGCATGGATCATTTAGATATGTATATAAAGAAGAATAAGGAAGTCCAAAGCACACTTCATAATAATCTGCCCATTTGCATCCAACGTCATTCTTACTACCTCCTACAATTACTTTAATACTTGTAGAAATCTTCTCTTTATGACAATTCTTTTCCACATGTAACTTATAGGAGTGCACCGCTAAGCCGGTCGGCCTAGTTCTTTTATTTTGCCTGATCGCTGACCGGCCAGTATTTACCTGTGAAACCGATCTTCACAAAAATCTGATGATCAAAAGTCGCCCTACTGTTGCAATATTCAGGACTTATCTGACAAAAAAATAAATTAAAAAGTTCAGAATCTGCAGTTCAGCTTTTTTAAGAATCAGTAACAGGTCAGAAAATTCAATCGGTACATCCCTAGTAATTTAAAGTCAAAGCAATGACTTCTTTTGAATGGAATAAATGTTTTATTGGCGCAAAACCGAAGAGATACTTTCCATTCTGTTCAGCGGTCCAAAACTAACCCCAGAGTATCCAGACTCTACCAATTCAACTAAAAATAAAAGATTAAAAATAAAACTCCTCAGAATGAAAACAAATAGCTAGCACTCATTCAGTCTTCTCATCACACGTCTGCTCCGTCTGGTGGGAGTAGCAGCAGCCGTCTCCGTGCGGACACGTTCCCTGGAGGAGGAAGCAAAACGAGATCAGAACGGATACAAGCGAGTCGTGGTTCCTCTGAGGCAGATCGGACCTGCTTGAATTTCTTGCAGGGGAAGTTCTTGAGCTGCGACGAGTCGGTGATCTGGTTCTTCCTTTTGTTCTGGAACTTCTTCCTCTTGTCCTACAGGTCAGTAGAGATGCCGCCCCTGGAACAGACAGGAACAATCAATAAACTCCAATGGGCGGCCATGTTTTACTGGTGGAATCAGACTGGAAAAAATGACAACTTAATGTTTTCTGCATGACTAAACTAAATTGTTTGCATATTTCTGCATAGAAATACTTTCAGATTTATTATTTAAGAGGGTGGATTGTGGGTATTGTGGGACTGTGATCTGATTGTCATAAAGGTAACCAAACGAAGATGAACCAGCCTCGTTTCACAAACTGGAAAACATTTTTTTTTTTACCTTCAGCCTCAAACAAGCAAATGTGAAACCCATAATCATTTTATATTTATTAAAGTTGTTTTACATTATTAAACATCATCATCTGGGTTTAATTTTCACTGAGAATTTCAATAAACGTCAGTGAATCTGAAGCGCCAGCTGCATTACCGCACTTAAATAATCAGGAACGCTCAATAGATTAGAATATTATTGTAAAGTGTTTTTGTAATGTAATTACAATGTATAATCTATTATGTAGACTCATTACACATTGATGTATTTCATGCGTTAAATTCTATTATTTTTGAAGATTATGGCTAATAATTAAACAAAAACCAAACCCAGAAATTCAGAAAATTAGGATATTAAACTAAACATATGTAAATAATAGAAATAAAATGTTAAGAGCTACAAAATCATAGGGAAGACTGCAGACTTGGCAGATCACCGTTTCCAAGGATATATTTCTAGAAAGTTTATTGGAAGAAAAAACTGTCAGAAAGAGGTGAATAAGTTTAATGATTTTAACTTTTTAAATTGAATCGTAGGGAAAAACAACAAATCCTGAGATGCGTGTGAATGTGAGAGTTTGTGTGACCGACCCTGCCTTGGCTCGAGCTTTGGGCCCCCAGAAGGCCTGAGGGTTCTCCTGGAACCGGGTCAGGTGGCGTTTACGAGACTGAGGGTTTGCATCCTCTCTCACGGTGAAGCAGGCTTCTAGACTAAACACACACATCATAAATACACACAGGTCATTTTTACAACAAAAGGAAAAATTTTCCAAATTAAGTCCTGACATGAGCCCGTCCACTGGACCTTCTGATAAAACATCGGGTCTCGTCTCACCTGGGTTCAGTGGAGAGGATCTTGAACGCAGGACTGGTCTGAGACAATTTCTCCCTCTTTACAGGATTCGTTTTCTCCTACCACAGACGAAAACGGGGGGAAGAAAAAAACCCACATTATCATGTGATTCTTTAATATGCATTTCTGTTGGGATGTAATAACTGAAAACGTGTTTTGTGAAGCATCTACCCAACATCTCATGATGTCCCAGATGACTCCAGGAGGAGCGTCTGTCTTCACCGCGTTTTTACAGGCGTGAGAGAGAGAAACCCTGTGGCCTGCGTGGAGGAGAGCCGACCTGCAGGAGAGCAGATCCAGTCAGTCCAAGACGCTACATCAGTTCAACCATCCACACTATTCAGATTTAGTCATGTTTGTTTCATAATTTATTGTAATACGGAAACCCAAACCTTTCCGTCTGTTCATTGACCGCATAATTTTTCACAAGCAGCTCAAATAAGATTAAACTCGCATCTTAAATCTGTTTTTTATTTTTTCACAGCGCTCTGCATCTTTTTTGCTCCAATAGTCTTCCAAATCTGAGGATTCAACAAGTCTAATTTAAGACGTTTTAGGACATTTTAAACAGTACGTTAGCAGCTAGTTACTGGTACTAGCTAGCAATGGTATGTTAGCAGCTAGTTAGCGGTGGTGCGAGCCAGTGGTGAAAACTAACGTGGTTCAGCCAAATTTGCCCTTACCCATGGTAGACACAAAAATGCTCGCTAGCTAGCTAGCTAGCTAGGAAGGGTATATTAGCAGCTAGCTAGCGGTAGCCTCAACCAAGATGTCTGCAGACTCGAGCTTTTGCCTGACAAAAAACTACATATTAGAGAATACCGCTCTGGAAAAACCCAAGAGTCCACTGCACTCAACCTGGTTATTCCACCAATTATTGATTTCTGAACTCTTCCTGAGTTAAAACATTAGTATTGTTGTTTTCTTTGCATTATTTGAGGTTTGAGATCACTGCATCTTTTTTGTTATTTTGAGCATTTCTCATTTTCTGCAAGTAAGTAAAAACATTTTGCTTGGAATTTCAAAGACATGTCAGTAGTTCATAGAATAAAAGAACAATGTTTATTTTACTCAAACATATATGTTTAAAGAGTAAAACCAGAGAACTGATCGTTTTGCAGTGGTCTCTTAATTTTTTCCAGATCTGTACACGAGGCTAAATATTCCTGCCACGCCAAAATGTCAGACCTGATCAACTTACATTTCTTTTTATAAATTTAAGGCCTTTGTTTTAGATACATGAATTTAAGACTTTTTAAGGACGCACGCAAACATCCCAGACTCCTAAAACTGTCCATATTAGTTTGTTTTAGGGTATTTTTGTAAATCATAATTAATCATGCACAGGGCTGTGTTTGTGTCTCCTACCTGAACTGGAGCAACGACGGAGTGCTACAGTGTATTGTGCTGCTCAGATTGTCCACTGTGTAGTAGAGAGGAACATCTTCCAACTCCTAAAATACACAGAGAAAACATTCATCATCCACGACCCCCAACCACACCGGCTCGGTCTCACTGACCCGATGGGGGGTTACCTCGGTAACCATGCTGAGCATGCCCTCGATACGTTTGGACGTTCCGAATCTGGACGGGTTCCCCGACACGGCCTCTAAAACCTTCTGGACGAAGTCCAGGTCGTGGATGGCTTCGGCCCAGAAGGGACCGCCCAGCTACGAGACACAACCAGCAGATTGTTCAAACGCCCAGACCGCTTTTCAAGCTTCTCAAACACAAAAAGACGTTAGGAAAGAGTCTTGATGAGGTGTGATGTTGCGTTTGAGTGCTGATATCTGTGTGCTACCTGGTGTCTCTGTCCGCAGTGCTCACACTCTGGTCCGACCGGCGGTCCAGTGGCAGCAGAATACTTCATGCTGCAAGCACACCATTCACACTTAGATAGGAGGGAAACATTCTTAAAATGTCAAAAATGTGTATTAGGATGCAACCTAGACATGTTAGGAAGTGCAACGAAGACCCTAGTGTAGGTATTCCACATTTAAAGGCCGATACAACCTTAGAAAGAACCGAAAAGTTTGTTGTTTTAAGAACAAGGACATTTCATACTTCACAACAACTATCAGGAAGTCTTCATTGGTTTCTTCCACCGCCACACACACACGCTTCATATTTCTCAGACACCATGCAAAAACATAAAAGAGAAACAGTTCTGCCCAGACGACGTGTCAAAGACAACCCGACCAGAATGAAGCCAGTTTTCCCCTGCAGCCCGTAGAGAGAGAACACGTTTCTGTTTCGTTGCCTCAGCTCTTCAGCTGAACGTCTGCAGAGTTTCAGTTTTTATCGTGTCTTTCTTACTGTTTGCCGCTGCTTATTCTTCTACCCAGCCTCTGCATGTGGAAGGAGCCGCAGCCGACGCAGTTGTACACCAACGCCTG